GCCAGTAAGAGCCCCCACTCACCTTCAGATTCAGTATGTGATCCATTATCAGGAAACACCTTGGACGATTGGCCTCAGGATCCAAACCTCCACCCCTCTGCTGTGGATCCCAATTCAGCATCAGCTGCAACCAGTTTTCCATGGGCTCTACAATCAAACTAAAGCAGAAGGGCTGTAAGAAAGGGGAGGCCTTCACCAGGCTGAAGCAGCCCAGCTCCCTGGGCCTTTCCTTGTGTGTTCTATTCAACAGGCTCTGACCATCTTTGTGGACAACAGGCACCAGAGAGCCCAAAATACCCAAAAGAGAGCCACAGCCTATCCCTTAACAGCAAACAGCAGCTTGAAACACCCTGGAGAAAGAAGGAGGAGCTCTCAAGCTTGGCATAAAGGAGGAAGAGCCCTCAGTTCAGACAGCCAGAACTGTCCCCTGTGAGGACACATGTACCTGCAGAGGCTGTGAGGCTGTGGCAGGTGGGTGCTGAAGCGAACCTCCCCGTTCATCTCCTCAGAGGCAAAGATGTGCTTGGGGTCCTTCTTCTTGATCTTTTCATGCCTGGGAAATAAAATGCTTTGTGTATATGCTGAGGAGTGTTACTTTTGTATGGGAGCAACTGAAGACAGCAGAAAAGGGCCAGTGTCCAGCAGCTTTAGAAAACCAACTCATCTTTCAGGACAAAGATGCCATTTTCAATCCACCCCATGTGAAAGAGAGGAGCCCTTACAATAAATTCTGCCTCTGGAAAGATTCACCTCTTCTGCTGTTCTAACAGAAACCCAAGTTTGCTATTTTTTTCTGTTTCAGAACCACCCTTTTAAAAACCAAGCAACAAACACTCCAGGCACAGCAAGTCAAGCAGAAACCTCCAGATGCAGGTTAAAGTTTTTCAGCACAGGTTTAAGTGTTAGCACTTCCAAGCACCTCTTCCAGAATAAGTGTCTTACCAGGCAAATGGCTGTAGATTATGTAAGAAAGGTCTAAATCCTGCAATACATTCAAACACCATTGTCCCAAAGCTCCAGTAATCAACAGTAACTGAGTAGGATTTGTTCTCAAAGAGTTCTGGAGCCTAAAAATGATCATAAAAAGACACTTTGATTGTGGTGTTTCCTTCCATTTCTGCAGAGACAAAGCTGCATCCAGGTGTGGCTTCCTGAGAGCCACAGGACAGGTCCCCAGGATCTCCATTTTTGGAGGTTTCAGCCCTTGGCAGTGCCAAGCCACAGCTGCCCTGCCTCAGTGCTCACGACACTAAAAAAAGTCTTACCAGATATTGCAATGTTCCAACAAAAGAAGTGCATAAACTGCCTTGATCCAGATCCTTTGCATATCCCAGGTCTATAATTTTGTGAACAATCTGCAAACAGTTTAAACAGTTCATCAGAAGAGCAAATGCTGAGGGGGAAAAACACCAAACAACCCAAAATCTGCTCAGTAACAGCCACAGAATACTCTCAAGAGGAAAGCCAGAGTGGAAATTCTGGATAAAGTCCGTGGCAAAGCTTCAGTAACAGTGTTAGCTTTAGTAAATGCACAGTTCAGTTTTCAGTCCAGTTCAATGTGACAACTCCCAGAAATGACAATGGAAACACACTGACCACCTTACTTACCTTCCCACCTTCATCCTGAAGAACAATATTTTCAGGCTTTAAATCTCTGTGTATAATTCTGTTCTCATGCAAATACTGGATACCTGACCCTGGAAGACACGTGTTTGATTTAACTCAAAATAAAATCCACATTGATTAAATGTAAATCTGATAAAAACCTAATACTAGGGGGCAAATTCGCAGCCTTTCATGATCTCCCACCACTCATTTTTACATTTAACAGCTTCCAAACCTGTGTTTCTTCTCCACTGCATTTTCACATCCTTGCAAAGACATGCGAAAGACACCCAACTTATTATGAAAAAAAAAAAAAACCCAAAAAAAATCTGGAAGGGGAACAAGGACAAAGCAAATAGAGTTGCTCTTTATTTCAGGAATTCAGCTGGAAGCCCTCTTGAGCACTGAAAGGACAGAAGTCCAGGCCAGTACCCTAAAATACTTTCTCATGCCAAACTAGTTATTCCTACAAGCACTGACAGGTTATCTGTAAGAGAATTAAGAAAACAAGGAGCTTTCCTGGAAAACCTTTTTCCTGGAGAAACCCAGGCACTGCCCTTTATCAGACAGCTCTTCCTTTCTGAGATGTCCAAAAAAAACAGGTACTTCCCAAGGGCCTAATTTTTTTAATACTCTGTTCATTTTAGTTCCCTTTTCATGGTCAGCTGGAAAAGGAAAATGCCACTAGACTTTAAAAAAAAAACCAAAATAAACAAAAAGAAAGCATTAACTACGTACCAATGTCACTAAGCAGAGAAAGGATTTGACTTTCCTTCAGCCCGCAGCAGTTTTCTGGTTTGTTTAGCAACTACAAAAAAAGTGAAAGATGTTCAGACCCACACTTGCAACAGTTAACAGCAAAAAACAACACATTCCATCCCCTGTTGAAACTACCCAACAAACAGCACAGCTCAAGGACACTGCAACTGAAGGAGGCAGTTGATTTTGTGCAATAAACTCATGGCCAGGAAGAACAACTCAAATAAAAGGAAAATTCAGAAAGAAAAGGGGTAGGAGACAAAAGCAGGGCCACAGGGCTGCAGGCAAGGGAGGCTCCCCCTCAGCACTTAGTGAGCTGTCAATAAAAGCAGCTTCAGCAATTTCTGACTTTTACTGCACTCAAGACTTCTAGAGATGACTGAGATGCATCAGCCCTCATGATGGATTCACAAGGAGAAATTAATAATGAAGTGAAACACAAATGATGCCAAGCAAGAGAAAGATGTAAAGAACATAGCCAGAAATAAAAGATTATGTTGTTGGTTTTTTTTAAGCAGTACAGAACATCAGACGGAATGAAGCATGTTACTTCCTAAATTGTTACAGCATCTATGCCACACCTAAGGGTTCATCAGAAATGAAGTGACCAAACACTGCATTGCAAGTAGAGCTAATTTCTCAGCCAGGGTCTCTAATGTACCTTCAGGGACTCTCCAAACTTTTACTGCAATAATACAACAGCCAGATGTCTCTGGAACTGTGACCAGGTGCCTGTGTCTGCAACCCCCAAATGCTTTTCATATAGTCCCCTTCTTTTACTGTGACTTAAACCTTCAAAGTGTCTCTTGGAGTGTTTCTAACAATTCAAAACCATAGAATGAGATGGGATTACTGCATTCACCAGCTGCTCACGTTGCCCAGGGCTGTTTAACACCAGTAACAAAAACTACAGAAATATGAGTTTCCTGATCACATGGATGAGGTGGTTTCTAAGCAAATCCTGACAGGTATTTGCTGCTTCACCCTACTGAAATTGTTGCTTCCTGAATCCAGCTGTAATGGAAAGGGAGCACAAACTCTGCCAAGTCACCAAGCCACTGCCTGGGGAACTACTGAAAGGCTCCTTTATTTTTGGGTGTTGCCAGTGTGCAGGTTGGCAGCTCTCAGTTCAGCAGGAATAGCAAAGCTTCAGAATCCCTGGAGGCCCAGTCCAGCAGAAATAGGCTCATTCCCTGTGCTGAGAGCAAGGCAACACTGGATACACATGAATCCAAACCAGTCAGACTGAACAGATGGACACACAGCAGCAAAGCCAAACCTGCTGGGTGTCAGCAGCTGCACTAATGCTAAAGCAGCTCTGTGAAAGGACACACCAGGATAAAAGAGTATCTGCCCTTGGCTTGCCCTCTGCTTTCAAAAACACAAGCCTCGTTTCCCACACGTGGTTTTTCCCAGTCCACATTAACTTCCTGACACCTGTACCTGATGCCTCAGGTTTAGCTTTTATATTTTTCAGGTTCTGTGCTGCTTTAGTGTGTGGGTCTGAGCTTCACATTAAGGGATGGTGAGCTCTCTGCACAGAGCAGGGAGACAAAACAATTCCTGCTCTAGCTGGGGACCAAGGACAAATGATCCAGATCTCAGCCCAAGAGCACAAACAACGTGGGCTGAAGAGAGAAAAACAAGCAGGATGGGACTGTATGGGGATAAAGCTGTAATTGGACAATGAACTCCAGAACTTATCAAAGTGACAGACTCCATGACCGGGTGTCCATTTTGTGACCATTTTGGTTCATCTTGGGTACAGCCCTGGCTGGGCTCTTGTGCTGCCCAAGGTGTGTCCATTGAGATCCTTTTAATAAATCCCCGCTTTATTCTTTAACTGTCTGGTCTCTGTTCCAGCTCAGCCTTCTCAAGGCATCACACCCAAAAAGAGAAGCTCCAGAGAGCAGCCCTGGTGGCAGGAGCAGCCCTGGCACGCCCAGTTTGGGTTATTTGTTTTCACTGACAGCAAAGCAGGGTTACCTTGCGGAGGTCGCCCCCCGAGCAATACTCCATGGCCAGCAGAGGAACGTCGTTCACCAGGAAATTCATCTCCTCAGGAACCTCACAGGCTCTCACCACGTTGGGATGGTTCAGCCTAAGCACACAGAGAGCTGGGTGAAAACTCTCCTGGGAGAATGAGACAACAGATTGCAAAGCAGCCACGTTTATGTTCCAGGGCCAGCTTCTGCTCCCCACAGGAATCCTTGCTCATTCATCAGCTGGTACCTACCAGTACCCAAATGGGTAAAATCCACACCTTGGCAATACACAAACCAGGGATGAGCAGAAATGATGTCCCAAAGCCAAGGTACAGGACTTTGATGATGGGGATCCAGACTCCAGTTGTGAATTCCTGCACAGTCCTGGCAGTGTCATTACATGTGTGTGTGTGTAGGAACAGACTCCCCCTGGTCCAAGCATTTCACAAGAACCCCTCAACCCCTGTGTAACTGCACCAGGCAGGTGAAAGCCACATTCACAGGGAAAAATTAACTTCTGCAGCTGAATTCAAACAGCAGCTTCCTGACTGTCTCTAACACATGCTACTCCTGGGAATAAATGACACATCCAGAAGGAAATGAAGGCAAATTATTTCTCTCTACATCTTCCAAAGCCTCTGGACACCGGCGCAGCGCCCCTCAGGCGCGGAGGGAGAAGTCGAAGGGCTCGAAGGCGCCGCGGAACGAGCGCGCCTGCGCCGCCTCCTCGGGCCGCTGGGCGGCGCACTGCCGCCAGTCCGCGCGCTGCGGCTGCGCCAGCAGCGCCTCGCTGGCCAGCACCTCCCTGCAACGACAGCGCCGTGACGTCAGCGCGCCGCGTAACGTCACGGGAGGGAGGGAGGGAGGGAGCGGGGGCGGCACGCACCTGCCGAACTGCAGCGGGAAGCGGCCGCGGATGCGGTGGAACAGCTTCTCCCCCGTGTCCAGCTCCACGTAGAAGTACGGCGTGCCCGGCTGAGCCACCTGCGCCACGGGAACCGCCGAACCACAGAGTCAGCGCGGCGGGAAAACACCTCCCACACCATCACCAACCTGGGACCAGCTCATTAACTGCACCATGGCACCGCTGCCACGGCCAGTCTGTACCCAAAACACCTCCAGGGATGGCCACTCCAGCCTCCCCGGGCAGCCCCTCCAATGTCCTCCCTGGGCAGCCCCTTCAGTGTCCTCCCTGGGCAGCCCCCTCAATGTCCTCCCTGGGCAGCCCCTTCCTCATCACCCTTCTAAGAGCTACCAGGGGACAGCAGACCCTCTTGCCAGCCACTCCAGGGGCTGGGCAGCCAGCTGTCCCCATGCCATGGTCCCCTCTCCTGGCAGGAAACTTGGAAAAATAACCCCACAAACCGCCTGAGGTCAGTGCCTGAGCTCAAACAATACCTTCCATGGGAGGAAGGAGCAGTGGCACTTCCTGCTGGGATCACCTATGATGTTTTGTGGTTTAACTCTGCTGTGAGTGACTAAATGAGCAGCAGGCAGGTCTGGTCACCCCTCACCTCACTGAGGTCACCCCAGCCCAGTACAGCACATTCCTGGAGGACGGGGCCACGCTCACATTTCTCAGCTGAGAAATCATCTGCTGTTCATGGAACTGCTCCCAGAGCAGAATCCTGGCACACCCCCAAATCCAGACCCTGAGGTTGTGCCTCCAAGAGGTTGACCCCAGCCCACAGAGTGAGCTCAGAGGGAACAGAGGGAACAGCAGCTCAGGCAGGACAGGGGGAGTGAACAGGTGAAATCTGGCCCCGTACTTGCGCGATATCCGAGTGCTCTGGGATTTCCAACAGCTCAATCTGCTGCTCCTGTGCTTGTGTAATGAAGGCCTCCTTGATGTCCTCGGAAGTGCAGAGGTCCAGAGGGACAGGAATGACCTGGAGAGGGAGGACATTTCCATCAAAGAAGACGAGACAACCCGTTTGCAGAAAGCCATCAGACCATCACTGGAGCTCGTGGCTCCTCAGTACAGCTCAGCCTCATCACACAAGACAGGTGAGCACCCATCTCTACAGGCTTAAACTTATGAGACTTTTTTTCCTGTAGGAGCTGGACAGACAGCTGAAAACTCCAAGCTTGAAAGCTCTCAGCACAGCCCTCTCCCTTCTGATCTCTGTGGTAGCTCTGACACAGCTCTGATACACTCACAGACCTGCCACACACAGCAACCACCACAGTAAACCCCAAAATGCCTCTTCCAGCTCATCTGGAGTTTATATTCAGTGCAAGTTGATGTTTCCCCAGGGTGACACCCAAACCATACCTGTAGCTGCAGATGCTGACTCCTATAGTTTCTTTCAAACAGGACATATCTCTTCCCCTTGCTCCTGAAGAATTCCTTTAGGGCAGCCTTGTACTTGGTGACTTCTTCCAGCACCTCTGAAGACAAGTCCACCACTGACTGATAGTGCCCAATTGGCAAAATCAGGACGTGGTCAGGGGACAAACCCCCTTTGGCCAGGGCAAGGTAGCACTAGAGTGAAACAACACACACCAGTTACTCTCTGTGCTGTAGGGATTTACTCTCTGACTACTCATTCTGAGCAGCCTCAGGAACAGGAGAGGTTTCTATGTGGCTTAATAGGGATTGTTTATTAGCCATTTTATTTGAATTTATTTTTATACTGAATTTATTAATCACTAGAGGAATGAGAAAGAGACAAAGAGATTGCCAAATGACAAAAAAAAAGTTATCTTTTGAATATCAGAGGAATGCCTTGTCTGCAGGGAAGCTGCTGAGTGAACTTCACCACTGAGGCAGGAATTTCTTATTCTAACACAAAAATCCACTTAAAAATTTAAACCTGTGGACAAACCTGTCCCTGTAAGTGGGTTATGCTATAAAGGAGCAGTAACTTTGAAGCTCAGTCCATGATTGTTTTATACACTTTGCTTGAAGTCAGCATCCTGGAGACACCCTCTTTTTCATCTCTATAGAACAAATCTGTAACCAGCCAGCCCAGACAGATCTGGCACTGGTGCATCCTGCTGCCAAAGCAGGTTCCAGCTTTCTTCCAGCTGGAACAGTTTTGCCACATGGTAACAGAGGGCTGGCACAGCAAGAAGTGCTCTGCCACTGGAATCCAGCTCTGCTGCTGGAACAAAACTGGGCCACACTTGACTTTTGAAGAGTTTATGTGTTTGTAGAGGAGATGCAAAGGAACTGAAAGCAAACCCAAGAGCCAGCAGCAAATAAGGTTTGTTTTAAATTTAAAATTGGAGATTGGTATTTTGTTTTGCCATGTCTTAGCATGATTCTCACCTAGCAAAGCCCTGCTAGGTACTTACATGTGTGCCAATACTGACAACCAAGTGCTTCTCCACCTCCGGGCTGGCCAGGCAGAACCAGCAGGGCCCTGTGGGCTGAGCTTTGTTGGGAAAGAAAACAAGGATTAGCACAAGGGAAATTTGTCAGGACACAGACAACCTGGTGTTTTCCAACCACCCTTCCCAGTTTATCAAGTGCTGCAGGTGTCAGAAGGACACAGCTCTGGCCAGGGACATTCCAGCAAGAAAGGAGGTGGTGGCAGTCAGAGCCTGCTGACTCCCATTCTCCTGGAACGCTGTAACCTAATGAAGGAGGGGTTTGGTAGTTCCCGGAGTTAGTATTTGCAGCTCACTCATAAGAAAACACCAGCAAATGTAAGCAAACAAATCAAAATGAGGATAAAATTACTGCACAGGTAAATTTGACAGCACAAGGGTAGGTGCTGTCAAACACACATGTCAGTTCTGGCCTATCCATCACACCCAAAACACCTGGATTCACACCCAAACTGTGACAGCTGAGCTTTTTGGAAGTGTCTGGTTCAGGGGTTAAATGCCACCAGCCCAACCACAACCACCACAGACCCAAAGAGCTTTGAAACTTTGCTCTTGACCCTTCTGTCACCTACTGAAGCCCATCTTGCCTTGGAAACAAGGGACCCTTCACCCTCCTGCAGCCCCCAGGCAGTGACAGAGCTCTCTGGCCAGCTGACACCTACAGCTCAACAGCTGGAGGAACAACTTGGAATGATGTGGTCCATCCAAACCCTCAAGGGAAGAGCTCAGAAAAAATCCTCCTCACACTTACGGGGTTTCTTGGCTTGCTTAGGTTGGGAGTCCCCTCTCTCTTTCCCATCTGAGGGACGTTTCTTTCCCTGATGCTTGTTCAAGTCAAAGAAAAATTGACAGGCTGGTTCTTCCTGTTTAGGAGATGAAAAGTGAACAGGATGGTCAGTTCAGAACTGCATCACAGAAAGTGACAGGATACAGATTTGATTTGATTTTTTCCTGAAGAGCTGTGAACCACTTCTGAAAAGCATCAATAGCACAGAATTTCTGAGGCTGGAAAATCCCTCCCAGCCCTCTGAGTCCAAGTTGTCACCACCATCCCCACAATGCCCACCTTGTCCCCAGCCCAGAGCACTGAATGCCATGTCCAGCCCTTCCTGGGACACCTCCAGGGATGTGGACTCCCTGGGCAGCCTTGCCAAGGCCTGAGCACCCTTTCCAGGAAGAAATGCCTTCTGAATACCCTGGAACTGAATGACCTGTCCTCCTAGTAATGCAGCAGACTTTACCTGCTTCAGTCAGGGAAAAACTTCAGGGAGAGCTGCCCCAAATCATTATGCTCTCCTATTCAGCCTTATGCTGAACATTCAGAATTGCCAGATTTTATGGATTATTTAAATATTTTCATTTGCCAGCCAGTGTCAAAAGAATGGCTTTATTTCTTAGAGATGTTAACATGTCACAGACTCACCAGAGGTTGAAAACATTTGACTGAGTTATCCCATACAGCCAAATGCCATTAGAAGGCTTTACTGCTGAAAAGGAAAAAACTCTGTCCCATCTTTCTTATAGTCCTTCTTTAAGAAGTGAAAGGCCACAGTAAGTTCTCCCTGGAGGCTTCTCCAGGCTGAACACCCCCAGCCTGTCCCCACAGCAGAGTTTTGGACAGAGCTATCCCAAAGGGCAAGCCAGGCAGTGCTGTGAGCACAGAGTGAAGCAGGAAGGCTCAGGGGAGGAGCACAGGGCAGTACCTCTGCAGAGAGAGGGGCTTTGCTCTTGGGAGCCTCCTTCCTCAGCTTTCGGTAGGGATTTTCGGTGACGTCCTGAGGCTGCTTCACCAGCTCTGCAGGGTCCATGGAGCTCATGGGCACGATGCTGAAGGCATAGAGGTACTGCAACAAACACAGGCACTCATGGCCAAGCAGCTCCTGCCACAGCTGCACCTCTGAGGAGATCACTTATGAACAGTTCCACACCACCCAGCACATCAGTGTTTGTGCCAAGGCAGGGCACGGAAAAACCCTGTGCCAGTGTCCCACCCAGGAGTCCATGCAGTGCATCCTTGATCCCTGCCCATTTCCAGGCCTTCTTTCCGGCCTTTTCTGTTACCAGGCTGGATCCTTAACTACCAACCAACATTCCTTAACTTTCTTAAGGGCAGAAGAGAGACAGATGAAAAATCTCATGCCAGAAATTTGTTATTTTCAGTGGTTTGTACCACGTGCAGCCCTTAGTACCCTTCTGACATAACAGACAAGTGGTACCTATTACTCAAGTGAGACAGATACCTCCACTTCAGCCAAGCTTTCAAGTGCCTGATGTTGTCCCCTACCTGCTCTCACTGCCCCATTATTGCACTTGAGAAAAGAAGAGAGATTCAAGGGTGTCAGTACCTTTTTCTTGCTTGTGTTGCCAACATCAGCAAGGGCAATAAACCTGGTGACGTGCTGTGGGGTCTCCTGTAGCACCATGTGATTCCTGTAGAGAAGCAACAAGCTGTACTGGCACATAAAATACATAAAGTATTGAAAGGACAGTGGGAGAATCCTCCTTAAAAACTGAACCATTACTTGAAAATAAATGAGATTTCACATGATTTTACAAACCTGTAAGGGAGTCTTTCGTAATAGGCCTTCTCCAGGGCAGCAAAATGGTACCTTGGTTTGAGACTTGCAGCTAGATCTGATACCAACTTGGAGCCACACTTCTTGGTATCTATTTCTCCCTACAAAACACAAATCAAGCTTTATTTAAACCTCTCAAAGAGCAGGGAAAAGAAAGGTTTAATAAACTTCTCAATACACTTAAGTGAGTACATTCTTAGAAAATTCATGCCAAGGGAAGTCAAACATAGAATGACAAATTAAACAATTACAGAGAATGCCCATGGGAACCTCTGAGATCTGAGTTCTCTCTGTGAGCCAGAGCATCCCAACAAATCACTCTCTATAACCTCCAAGGGCAGCAGGGTTGGTTATTATGCTGTGAGGGAAGGTTCCTCATGCATTTAAACTGAGGATTGTCTCTCTTTTTGAATGTTGAAAAAAACTGAGAGGAAGCAAAAAATGTTCTTTTGCCACATGTGTGGCCTTGCTGTCCAGAGAGGTTTCAGATAATATGAAAATCACTTCTGCTGAGAACATTAACACAACAAAACTGGACACAAATGAAACAACACCCTCAAAATCCAGACTGAGGAAGAACCACACCACTGACTGACACTTATGGAAATAAACACCAAACCACTTAAAAAGTGACAGGGACAGCTAAAATGCCCTGAAGCCTCACAAATCCCCCTCCTTTCAGTCCTTCTTCTCCAAAGAACCAGAACACCTGCTCTCCCTGTTTTTACCCCCAGCTTCCCCCAGCACTTGCAGAGGGTGAACAGCCCCTCCACTTGGAGAGCAAGCAGAGAGGCGACGCTGTGTGAAACCCCAGGAACAGAACACTCACCGCGCTGTTGGCAAAAGTGCCCACGTCTCTGGGCCAGGGCGAGGTCAGCAAGATGTCCACTCCCCTGAAGTGTGGGGCTGAGAGCAGGGAGGCTTTCAGCTCGGCCACGTCCTTGGCGCTGAAGCAGTGGGCGGGCGCCGGCTGCTGCGGCGCCTCGGTGCCGCTCAGGTAGGCGACCTGCAGCCCCGAGCAGCCACTGTACACCCCCCTGCGGCCTGCAGAGACACATGAGCATGCCAGCAGCCCCTCCCTGCTCAGGGCAGCAGCAGGGCTCCCTGCTGTGGCTGCAGCCACCCCCACAGGCAGCTCCTGTGCTGTGCCCGGCATCGCTCGGTGCCGCAGCACAAAGCCGAGCCCGCCCGCAGCAAAGCTCTTCAGACAAGCCCCAGGCTTCCCCCTCCTCCCTGCTTCCCAAAAACTCATCCACATCCAAGCCAAGCGCCTCTACTTTGTTATATTTTTGTCCTGGTGGCAATTCTGGAAATAAATTGGTTTTTCCTTTCAGCTTTGCTACAGTTCGCTTGTCACCTCTGCTGCTGCAGCACAGCCACTGTGCAAAATCTTCAAATCTTATTCCAACCCTCTCCCACATGCTCTGGGAATAAGACAGGCATGCTATAGGAAGAACAAATAAGGGAATTGACTGAACAAATAGTTTCTGAGATAAAGAAAATTGAGAAAAAATAGAAAGGTGAAGAGTTTTGGAGTAGAAGAGCCTGGAATAAAATTGAGTGAATATTTGAGTCCAAGAGAAGGAGGCTCAGTTGAAGGAGTGGAAGGACAATATGGCCCCACATGATTTCTTACACATAGGTAAATGCACCAAGTTTAGAATAACTTCTCCTAAACCAAAGGTAATAAATACAAATTTACCATTACAGAAATGGTTTGGAGTTACTGCTGATTTGCTGAGCTGTGAATTTAGAAAATGAACAATTCTGAAGAAAAATATATCCTTATTTAAAAGCAGTAGTACATTTAGAAATCTGTCAACTTAGATAAAGCAAAAAATAGTTGAAGTGGTTTTAACAGAAGAATAAAAATGTAAAAAAATTCAGAACATTCTCTTTCATTTTTAAATTTGATCAAGAAACAGAAGTGTTTTTAGTTGTACAACCTTATTTCTAAGTACTGACATGCAGGAAGATAAAGCAAGGGACAAACCCTCACAATTGTGCACTTTTCCATGAAATTGAACACATTTCTATTTCAAAACAATCACTGTGTTCACGTTAATAATTCAAAGGATTGTTGTAACATCCTTTACAAATGACTCTGTTACAAATTACTTCAAAAAACAGGCTCTTGCAACCACTACTCCTTCTGCTCGGCAAGTTCAGTCTCAGAGAAATGAAAAAAAAAAATTAATCAAGAAAGCAGGGTTTTCTTTCACATTTTACCCAGATTACACCGACATCAAGCTGCTGATGATTTTTACCCTGAACCACAGGACAGAAATGCCACTTACAGCTCCCAGAAAAGGAAGGTGTTAAAGGGGGAAGATGAGAGAACATTCCTGGGAGCCCCAGCAGGCACGGCTGGCCCCAGGCCCCTCAGCCTTACCCAGGTACGTGATGTTCTCAGCCAGCTCACAGCCACTGACGTCGGGGAAGTAGCTCAGCGTGTCCGGGCTGTTGGCACCGAGCACGAAGGTTGGGATTGGAGCTGAGGGAGGAAACCTCGTGCACTCAGCGAGCTTTAATCCCACCAGGCAGCCCGCAGTGCCCAGGAATCACAGCAGGAAGCCCCATCCCCTCCCACCCTGCACCACAGCAAACCCTGCTGCAGAGAGAGCCCCCAGCCTGGCATTCCCTCAGCTGCAGGAGGGATCCAGCTCTGCCCACCACACCCCCCTCCCTGCCCGTGCGGGGCTAACCCCGAGGGGAGGCTCAGCCCTGCTCCACACAGAGCCACCTTTCCCCCGAGGGGGTTTCCCTGCTGGAGAACAGCTGCTTTAACACCCCGTGCCCCCTGCTCCCTCACCTTTCTTGGCCCCCGTGCGGTACTCGGCCCACTCTGCCTCGCAAGTCGAGCCAAAGAAATTCCCGACACACAAAAGCATCTAAAAACATAAACAGGAGTTACCATTTCAGCACACACACAAAGGCTTTGCCTGCACCACTTCAGCAGCATTTGCTTTGCTGAAGTGAAGGGATTCCTCTGTGTTCATCTGAGCTAAACGCAACATCAGCGGGTTTAAAAGGACAGCCAGCTGCTCTCCCGCCTCCTGCGCGCGGATCACGGCTCCTCCCAATCCTCTGGCGCTGGACAGGGAGGGCTGGGGGGCTGCAAACCCTTTCTCACATGAGCAGGAAGAGGAGCGCGGCTGCCGCGGGGGAACGGGGCAGCAGCACCCACCGAGCCCCGCCGGCACACCTCCCGCACGGGAACCCCCCGGGCCGGCTCCGAGTCGGGACGGAAACCCCGCGGGAACGCCAAGACGTGCGCCGCCCCCCACAAGCCCCACACGCCCCACAAGCCTTACGTCGAAGCGGCCGCTCTTGGCCTGGATGGCGCGGACCCGCCCGAAGATCGCCTCCAGCCGCCCCTCCACGTCGCCACACGCCAGCCTGCGGGACACCGCGCGGTAAGAGTCGGCCCCGGCCCCACCACAGCCTCATCCGGTGTCCCGCCCGTTCTCATCCCGCCCCGTCCCACTCACACGCGCAGCGGAGCCGCCGCCATCACGAAGATGCTCGACCCGAACCTCCCGCCACTTCCGGGTGCGCCGCTCAAAGCGTTCCGCCACTTCCGGGTGCGGCGCTCAAAGCGCTCCGCCGTTGCCGGGCGGGCGGCGCACCAAGCCTGACCAAACGAGCGGGAATGGCCGGGAAATTTCATTATATATTGTTAATACTATACTTCGAAATGTATTTATAATAAATATATTGTATTTGTATAAAATACTATATTTCAATAAGTATTGGTAATTACTACACTGAACTGTACCAAAACAAGGACTTAATCAGGCCATAAACACCAGCAAAGCTCTCATGTATTTCACACCTTTTATATTTTATTATAATAATGCCTTTTAAATAAATGACACCTTATAAATAGCTTTTATAGGGGATTTTAAAAAATATATCTTTTTATTAAGATTTTACAATGTTACCATCTGAATTCTGTAACTAGGAACTGAAATCCGAGCTGGTTCTGTTGGTGTTTGTTCTTTCTGTGGTATTGGGACTGAACCGTTCCACATTTCAACAACAGGCACGAGAAACAGAAAGTAGTAATTTTTATTTTCTGCATCTCACCTGGCCTGAAAGAACCACAGAAGAACCATGGAATGGTTTGGGTGGGAGGGCCCTCCAAGCCCATCCAGCTCTCTCGGGTTCCCTGCGGTCAGCATGACCCTGATCATGGTCGAAGAAAGAGTCGGAGCTCTTTGTTTGTGGTTCTCCAGGTCGTTTATTGTTGCTTACCTAAGATGTTTTCTCTCCAGCCTGCCACAAGCCTGTCTAGCAGGTCGGTTCAGGGCACAACCGGTGTTATCTTTTATACTAAAAACTACATGTTCTATATTTACAGTTATGTTCCAATACCCATCACCTATGTTAGACAGTGACTTTCTGCTCTAAACCAGTCTGTGAGCGCCAACATCATCCTGCACATGGATGCCAGGGAGAAGAAAGAAGGACAGGGCACGCCCAAATCCCTCCACCTCGGAGCCCCTGGCCCCCATGTACAGAATCCCAAACCCCCTGTACATGGTTCCAAAATTCTTCACCCTGTGATTGCTACTATTATGCTACTCAAACTTTTATGACCTGTGACTCTTCATACAAGGTTGGTAATTTCTCCCAGGGGCTAAGATCGAATCCCCAAGTGTCTTTGGCCTTCTGCCAGAGCCCAAACCACCCAGGTCACCCAGAGGGATGTTCTGGGTTCCGACACAGTCCCACTCCCTCCCACTGTCCCAGGCTGCTCCAAGCCCTGTCCAGCCTGGCCTCGGGCACTGCCAGGGATCCAGGGGCAGCCCCAGCTGCTCTGGGCACCCTGTGCCAGGGCCTGCCCACTCCCAAAAGCCAGCAGAGCCGATTGTTTACCGGCGGCAAGTGGAAAAGGATACAATCATAGAATTTATTTTCCTGACGGTAATAACGGGGCCAAAGCGCACGCGGCGGTCGCGGGCAGGAGGCCGCGCTCAGCGGCGGCTCCAGCGCCTCACAGAGGCAGCGAGGCCACCCCAACGCGCCCCGCTCCTGCCTCACTCCGGGCACGACCCCAGCAGGTCATGGACGCTACCCGACCAAGAGCACCCCGCCACCGCAAGCTCCCCAAGGGGCGGAGAGGCGGCGGCCGCCCGGCTCGGAGGTGCCGCTGCTCAGCCGCCGCCGCCCCTCAGCGGGGCCGCCGCTCCGCCTCCCTCCAACATGGCCGGCCGCCCGCCTCCCCTCAGCGGCGCCGCAGCCGCATGGCCGCCGCTTCCCCTCAGCGGCACCGCGGCCATACGACCACCGCTCCCCCTCAGCGGCACCACCCCTCAGCCTGCCTTCATCATGGCCGCTCCCCCGCCTTCCCTCAGCATCGGCACCGCCCCTCAGCCTCCCCTCAGTATCGGCGCCACCCCTCAGCCTCCCCTCAGCATGGCGGTTCCTTCACCACCTCCCCTCAGCATCGGCGCCGCCCCTCAGCCTCCCCTCACCATCGACACCGCCCCTCAGCCTCCCCTCAGTATGGCGGCCCCTCCGCCTCCCCTCAGCATCGGCGCCGCCCCTCGGCCTCCCCTCAGCATGGCGGTTCCTTCACCGCCTCCCCTCAGCATCGGCGCCGCCCCTCAGCCTCCCCTCAGCATGGCGGTTCCTTCACCGCCTCCCCTCAGCACCAGCACCGCCCCTCAGCCTCCCTCGCGGGCTCTTCCCGCCCGGCGCAGCCGCGGAGCAGCAGCCCGGGCGCGGAGCGGGCGGGAAGGGCGCTGGGGCGTTGGTGGCGGTCCCGGCGGGGCGGGATGGCGCTGTCGCAGCAGTGCGAGGCCGCGTTCGGTACCGCGGACCTGTACGCTGTGCTGGGCGTGCGGCGCGGCGCGTCCGCGCAGGACATCCGCCGCGGCTACCACCGCGCCTCGCTGCGCCTGCACCCCGACCGCGTCCCGGCCGAGCAGAAGGAGGAGGCCACGCGCCGCTTCCAGGTGAGGAGAGAAGCGGCGAGAACGGGAGGGAGGGAAGGAGAGACACAGGGAGGGAAGGGGGCGGTGGCGGCCACGGGTGAGACCGACCCGCCACCCCATAAGGGACTGTCCTGACCCGCTGTCCCCCAAGTGACTGAAGCCCGGGCAGCCGACCCTGAGTGCCCGCCCCAGTGCCCAGCCCCGACCCTGAGTGCCCACCCCAGTGCCCACCCCAGTGCTCCCTGGGTGACTGACCCCCAAGTGAGCGCTCCCCAAGTGACATCCCGGCCGCCCCCGCAGATCCTGGGCAAGGTGTACGCCGTGCTGAGCGACGAGCAGCAGCGCGCAGTGTACGATGAGACGGGCACGGTGGACGAGGAGGCCGAGGCGCTGCAGGACGGGCGGGACTGGCTGGAGTATTGGCAGCTGCTGTTCAAGGTGAGAGCGGGGTGGGGCTGGGAGACAGAAGAACTTTTTGGGTTTCATGTGTTTTCCCTTAAATCTTCCTGGTGAGTAAGTCCTGTCACTCACAAAGCATCACCTCTTTGCTCCAGGTCACCGTGAAAGACATCGAGGAGTTCAAGAGTACCTACAAAAACTCGGAGGAAGAGCTGGCTGACGTGAAGGCAGCGTACCTGAATTTCAAGGGTGACATGGATCGGATCATGGAGTCTGTGCTGTGCGTGGACTACACGGACGAGCCCAGGATACGGGAGATGATCGAGCGAGCCATCGAGTCTGGGGAGGTCCCGTCCTACAAGGCTTTTGTAAAGGAGTCCAAGCAGAAGACTGTGTCCAGGAGAAAGCGGGTAGGTTGTAGCAATTAATTACCAGAACTTTTTTCCCTTGGCAGGAATAAGCGACGCTGTTTCCAAGATGTTTGTCGCAGGATTGCTGGGTTACACACCTTCCTGTTCACCCGTGGTCATCACCCCTCCAACCCAAATCATTGTGAAAGGCTTTTCTACTCCTTTATTTCCTTATCATACACAATGGCTTATTGCAGTTTAGCGTGTCCCTGCATGTATCTACAAAGCTGGGAGTTGCTGGAGTTAACAAAAACAAGCAAGCAGTGAAAACACTTTGGTTGGCTTCTGCCAGGTGTGAAACTGCTCTGGCCTAAATTGACCCTTATATACTTTTGGACATTTTGTAGAATGTTACATGCAAATCACAGTAACCTTCAAGTTATTGTAGTCTCTACCAAGACAAAAAAAATAAATGGGTGTGGGAACAGGGATGGGGACAAACATGACATTCAACACTGTGAAAGAGCAGAAAAACTTCCTGCTCTGCTAAATGGTGGAAGCAGAATGATTTTCCCTTGTTGGATCCCTTATCTGTGGCCAAACTTGGAAACCCTTTGCACTTCCCTGCAGCTATTTGTGCACAGATGCCCAAAAAGCATTTGGTAAGTCCTGTAAGACGTGGTCAGATAACATGCAAAATACTTCTTTAAAAAACCTTATTTGCTCTTTTAGGCAGAAAAAGAAGCTAAAGAGGCAAAAAAGACGATAGATGACCTGGGCCTTAGTGGAGAAAATGACTTGCAAGCGCTGATTAAAGTAAGGCTTCTTCTGTTTCTTGCAGATAATTTTGTTACTGGCTTATAATTGTCTTTTCCCTGAGCATCTTTGATTTTGGATCCTTGCATATCTTCTGAATTCCTGAGGTTAAAACCTGGCCTTAATGTTAATTATGTGCTTTAATTTAATTAGAATCAGAGCACAGTATGGATTTTATTACCTGTGTCTATTTAAAAATTTACAAGAGTTAAATATTTGGAGTACTTACACAATAATTTCTAGTTTTAGGTGGTTTCACAGGAGTTTTAATGATGATACTAACCTGCCTGTAGCTTGTGTTTGATATAGTCCAAGATTTTGTGTAGCTATCAAATTTCAACAGGATAAGCTGTTTGGGAAGTTCCAAAAGGTCTGAGTTTGGCTGGTGTTCTTTTCCCCCTCCCCAGCGCCGAGGCAAAGATCGAGAAAAGGAAATGGATAACTTCTTTGCCCATCTGGAAGCAAAGTATGGCAACAGTGCTAAGAAAGGAGGAAAGAAGACCTCAGCCAAGAAAAGAAAGGCAGAAGGAACAGACTGAAATAGCAGGTTCCACTTTGTATGGAAAGGTGGATTTGGGAGAATTTCGGGTGTTTTCCGGGCTCCTGTTTCGGACTGTGTGCATTGACTGGCTGTGAGTGGGAGGCTTGACACGGAATGCATGCTGAACAAGGAGCACAAGGCATTCCTGTGCTGCTGTCTCCAGCTCAACAGGTCTTTTTTCAGATATTCCTGTAGTTTTATAAAGATAGTTTGGAAAATTGATGGTTTAATAAACAAGAAGGTGGGGTTTTTTTCAGAGTTTTGCTTCCTCAGTTCTCAATATGTTTTCTAAATAAGCGATTTAAAACAAGCCAATTGTGTTGATTCTTCTGATTTCAGTCAAATAAGTCCTGCACACTCCCAGGGAGGATCATTTTTCAAAGGCATAGGAGTCTCAAGGTGAACACTGTGGGAGCTGGAGGCTCTCACAGCTTCAACAGCTCCTGGGGGGAAGCCAGAGGTAGATGGTTTCTCTGTTCCCTTTTACTTGTCTGCTCTGAAAAATAACCCTGATTCTGAGAAAGTAGAGAATATCACTGTGGTTTATAACACAGGGCTTGAAGATTACTTTTAGTACACAAAATAAATAGTCCAGGAGCAGTCCCTGGTGTCAGCCATCTGTACAAAACCCAGAAATGGCCTTAGGAGGCTACTGCATTTTTTAAACCCACTGACTCCTCTAGGCTGTGAAACACTAGATCATGTTAACAGAAGTCTGTTCAAGTTTATTTGTCTGCTTTTGCAACTCTTGTGCTACAGAAAATTCACTCGGTCCCTGAGGAATGGCACGGATACAAATGGGATGCTTATCTGCACTTTTCCTGACATAACTGACACACTGCACTGTGTTCCAGAAGAGAAATTGTATTTTGAAATGGCTTAGTGAGTAGAGGTCTCTGGTGAGCATCAGCTTCTCTCTGAAAACTCAAGATTGAGCTCAGAGCTGTTTGGTTTTTTTTTAACTTCTGGAAATGCAAAGGCAAGTTAACCCAGTTATATTTGCACAGTTCTCTGTTTTTGATTAAAGCACATTTGGATCAACTAGACTTGTGAGCTTCAGTATGGATGAAAAATTATTAGCTGGTCTGAGTGGGGAAATCAGGGAGCCATATCATAAAAAATACCAACAAGGGTTTTTTTTTTCTATTTTGAACTGTAATTTGAAGAATAAGAAAATACAGGAAAACAGTGCTCTTTAATTGGACTAGATTGGTTTTTGTGGAGCATTCTAACTTTGTTTAAATACAGCCAGTGGTTACCTCAGCTTGTTTTTATATTTCAGTCTGGCAGTTTCTCTTTGGGAGTAAGACCTTCAACTAACCATTTATTTTGAGAAGCCTGTTCTTCATGGTCTCATTTGTCTTATCTGGAACTACAAGGCCAACTCCAGCAAATGCCTCTGTTAGGTCTGTCACACAGGGCAGACCCAGCTCCTGCAAGCTCTGTTTCATCAGTGGCTTCTGGAGCTCTACCTTGGAGTGAAGAAATCTTGTGTAATTATAGGTATTTTTACAAAGGGAGACTGAGCTATTCTGTGAAATTACCATAAAATGTCTCACCAGGAAGATTTTGAGTACTGTCTGAAACTGCTTGTAGTAAGAAAGAAGTTTCTTTTTGCCTGTTCAACCTTTTTCAGTCACTGAGGAAGAGGTAAAAGGTTTTATTATAACTCAGGAAGAGGCAGTGCTGTGCTGCCCTTGGAGCTGCCAGTTCACCTGCTCTGCTGCCTTGGTTCCACACACCTGTGTTCATCCCTGCTGCAGCTACCACAGCATTCATCATTTGCCTAAGCTGAGTGCTTGCTTTTGCTAGTACAATATTGCTTTAAACATATTTAAACATATAAATACACTTTTTTTAGAAAACATAAATCACTAAGTCTGTGGAAGGCCGGGTTAACCTTCCTAAGGGAAAAATGAGCAGGTCCTGCAGTACCTGCCTGTAAGGACATGAACCTGTCACCAACCTCATGGAGAACAGCACAAGCACAGGCTGAGAGTGTTTGCTGGGTTTCCTAGGAGTTGGGCTTCACAGGGATGTATTCACCCTTCCACTGGAGCATCATTTCACTGGTAGGAAATGGAATGTTTAAGTGCACCCCTTCTAATCTTTGGCAGCTGCTGCTTAGATTTATATAAAAATAACTATCTGTAAGGAAGGGTGTTTGAAAACTCTGTGTAAACAACGTTGACCTTGCTGGGAAAGAGAGGTGGTTCATGACTCTCT